TTGTTTTTGGGTGAATTAACCCTTTAAAATTTCTAACCATTGTAGCTTCAGCTCAGTTTTGCCTTACAGCAGCACGTGAAAACGCGCGATCTTTTTAATCCTGAGTGCTGTGAAACTGCAGCAAGAAACTGGTATTTTATTAAAGACCACATAATAAAGGGACTTTGCGTTTTACGTTCACAACGTCAAATCGAATCGTTCACAACGCCACATGCACGGATAAGCTACAGATAGTAAAGATGCTATAGATTTAAAATACACGCCTCTAGAATAAACTAAAAATATCTCTTTTGTATGCATGTACACATATTCAGCTTGAAATGGTTCAACGAAACTATACCGTTAGATACTTTTTTGTAGTTTTACCTTTCTACTCATTTATTAGTCCCAGCACGCGAGAGGCCAAGGCGCAGACATGGCCGCTCAGACCTAATCAGAAATCCGTCAAATGGTTACCGTATTCCAGACATACCAATTTTAATCTCGGTGGGGTCGAATTTAGGAGGCATGGTGTATCAGATGAAGTTGACCTCAGTTCGACTTGAATTGGTGACGGTGTCGGATGAACCCGAATTCGGGACGACCGAAAAGCGTTGCACCTTCACCACAAAATCGAAAATTGAAAAGGCCGATAAAGTGTGGCGCCACCAATATAAAGCCACGAAATATCGCGAGAACTGAACAACCGTTCACACTGCGGCGAAGCATTACGTCATTCACAACATCCAAGAAGTTGTTCCTGGTGTGTGTGTGTGTGTGTACTGCCAGAGAGGGAGTATACTAGGTAACACGGACAAGAAATTAATACTGAAACATTTGAAGAAGCCCATGTTTTGATGAAATTATTTAGTTAATTTAGCGGTTAATCGCGTATATTCGTCTTTTTGCGTACGGTATGTACATTTATTTATATCGCGCTATTTGGCTTCAAGACCAGTAATCATCAACGTCTAGTCAAAAAGTGGCATTTGTAGTCCTATGAATATCGATGGACTATAATTTGTAATATAGCAAGTGTTTATTTGTGTGTTTCTTGTCGTACTTGACTTTGTTCACACTGTTCTACTATGTTTGTTTCTGTTTCTTTGGAAATGTCAACACCACAGTCAGTCAATTGTCACTAACATCCAGTGGCTTTTGTGGATGTTGTGGGGTTTTGACTAGGCAAACAAAATCTCACTTGCCTCAGGATGTTTCTGTTCTCCAAAAAGAAGAAACCCAGTGAGGATTCCATAAAACGCCTGGAATACCAGCTATGCTTGGTGAGTTTTTTGGGGGGGGCAACATCCTACTGTTACAGTGCACTGCTTCAAATCTTAACACACATGCCTGTTTTGTGCAGGCCAAAGAAGCAGGTGCTGATGATATTCTGGACATTTCTGCCTGTGAGCTTGCAGAGGTGAATTACAGAAAGCCTTAATATCATTATTTACATATTGGTGAAATTTTCATCTAAGACAGAAGATGAATCATTGCTAGATATCTGAGCTTCTATCCATATTGCACCAGTTCTTACACAATGCTTGTCTGCAGGTTCCCTCCAGTGCCTTC